CCCACTCCCCTCTCCTCCCACCCCCCACCCCTCGGCCCCTTCCAAGCTCTCTGATTGGCCAGTGGGACAAAAGTTTCTGTGGAGACGGCTGGGCGCTGACGTCACGGGCAGAATTGTCCCATTTAGGGATCCCGGGGGCAGTGCGCATGCTGCAGGCTGCAGGTTACAGGCAGGAGGCGGTAGCAGCCGGCCCGCGGCAGCCAGGTGGCGAAAAGGAGCTCTCCGCATCCAGGTGGGGGGACGACTCCAGCAGGGTTTCCATGGAGATTTCCTCTGGGTCTAGCCTAAAAACAGCAGATCAGCTGACACCATTAGCTCAGGACCTAATTACTGCTTATTGGAGCAACAAATGAGGGACAGGGCCAGCTGCAAAGGAAGAGGTTTACCCCCTCCCCTCCGTCTCCTCCTTTCTCTCCCTCTCTCCTCCATGGCTCTTGAGTCCCCGGTGAATTCTCATTAACTTGCAAGATTCCAGCAACAACAGCCAGGCTTCTCTGGAGGCCACCCCGACCGCTTTTATTCTTTTTATTTCCTTCTTTTGTGTCAAAAGATGCTAAAATAAATGGGTTGTCCTGAGTCCTTGAATTTTTGCCCAATAGATACTGACCCGGTAGAACTCAGAGAAGCAGCTGTCTGTAATTCTCACAAGTAAATCCACTGACTGCGTGAGGGGTGTCACTTTCAATTTTTTGATTTTAAGATTATATATCTTTTAAACGGGTTTTTAAAAATATATGTATCGTAAATACATCAATATATGGAAGGAACAGATAGAGTATTTTGAACCTTTCTTCTAAGTGTGATGTATTTCACAAGAACAACTCTGAAAGTTTCTTTGTGGCATCACAGATCAGACATGATTCCAAGTCAGAAGATGTGTTTTGTTGCATCTTGCCAATGTGCTTTCTAGAAGTATCTGGAAGGTTTCTTGGTCCTAGAGTACTCATGTATCCAAGAGTAAGCTAATCCTGTGGAGTTGACTTTGTCTTGTAGGTATAACTTGATCCACAATTACAGCTTTTAAATAGGTTATTATTCTGAAAATCCGCCCTCATGTACCTTAGTCACCAAGAAACCTGACTTCCTAGACCATTCAAGTTAAAATATTGTCTATTCTCCAAAACCCTTTCCATTGTGGCTTTAAAATCCTTCCAGACTAAAACACACACTTTAATGTACAGTACACATATACATCTATGTTCCAAAATTATGAATAAAAGAGATAGCTTTCACACTGACATTTGCATTTTACTCCTCTAAATATTTGATCTAGTTACAATCCCAACCAAAGCATGTACTTTTTGACCCAGTAGAGTGTGACCGACAACTTATATTTTGAACACAAAGCAGGTGCAGGGGCGACTTTTCCTTGTACTGTGTTAATATTTTCACATGAATATGTTTTCTTGTTCAAGTAGAATTTTAATTGAAAAGTTTATAGTCTCTTATTTTGTAAAATAACTCTAGCCTGATGGGCGCTTCATATAGGAAGAGCTTAGGAAGCAGATTCGGAGGGTGGGAGGTGTCCTAGTCATGTGAAATCCCTGTCTATGCCTGTTGACCCTAGCTGAGTGGTATTTGTATGAAATTGGCCCCCACTTAGTAGAAGCCACATACACATGTGCATTGTATTTATTAATGTGTGGACATGAGACATGAGAACATCTCAGGGACGTAACTTAGAATGCAAACAAATACGTCGACAAGCCTCACTTGCATTAACTAGATTTAGCATGGAACCAAAAAGCCCTCAAACATTAAGAGATCATGCAAAATGCATTCTGTGGGAAAGGAAGAAATAAATAGCTACAGGGCAAGGGAGAGTTGGTCTTCTTTAAGGGGGTGACCCCAGACATGCTGATCAGGCTCTAGTGGAGGAACTTATAACAAGGGACATCCAGAGACACAAACGACTCCATAGGCCGTGACAGAATGTATCAAATCTGGTGAGGAAGGGGGTGTGTTAAAAGGGGAATGAAGATAGGGATGGGGATCGAAATATGATTAAGATGTGGGGGTTTGAATTAGAATGCCCCCCTTAGGCTACAAATATTTGAATATTTTGTCTCCATACGGTGGCACTGTATGGGGAGGTCTTAGAAGGTAAGGCCATGCTGAAGGAAGCATGTCACTGGGGGGAGGGTTTAGAGAGTTCTTAAACCTTGCCATATCTCTAGTCGCCCTCTGCTTCCTATTCCTGCTTCAAGATGTGAGCACCCTCGTTCTGCTCTGGCCACCTCCTGCCACCATGCCTCCCACCATGATGGACTCCGAATGCTCTGGAACCATAAACTCAAAGAAACTCTTTCCTTTCTAAATTCCCTTGATCATGGTGTTTTATCACAGCAACAGAAAAGTAACTAATACAGATGTATGAAATGTACAGAAAGTCAATAAAATATATATTATTTTTAAAAAGGCCATTAAAATTAGAACAATTCCAGGATTTTAATGGCTAGTCATTTCAAAGCGCCGAGGACCCCGTTATTTCTGGTGGAACTGAAGTGTGGCCTGCTCTGGACTTGCACTCATTATTGGCTGAGCGACGAGAGCAACACCTTTTACTGGAGTGAAACACCTACCAAAATTGAAACTCTTCAGTCACTTCGAAGATTTCCTCCCTTTTAGCTTCTCTTGAGGTAGGTATTCCCAGCTCTGTCATGAGGGCCATTTTAAGCCTCTTCTTCATGTACATGATTCATTTGACCAGCTACATTGAATCTAACTTGTGTCCCTCAGAATTGCCTCTGCATACAGCCTGCCTCACCAAAAAAAAAAAAAAATCTTCACCCACATGGTAATGCAAATCATAGTCTGAGACTAAGCTAGGTCCTAGCCAGCAGAGGAAGAAAGTAGATCCTGAACAAGGTAGAGATGGCTATGCAGAAAAATATTTTTCTTAATAAAAAAAATTAAGCAAAGATACATCTCTTTCAAAAGTGCCTATAAAATTTTTAGGTTCACAGGTGAATTAATACAATTATACAATATTGAACTCAGTATAAACCCTTGTAAGACATAAAATTGAATGAATTTTTAGCCTTTAAAGAAGATCTCCATTTCATTTTAAAATATACTGTTTCTTACATAAAGACTCATTGTTTTTGCTAATACCACTTAGATGTTGGTGCATGCGTCTCTAACCTGTATGCATCTGATTATTACTAGTCATGGTTGGTTGCACTCAGATCCTTGGCACATGTATGGATATAAAGTCATTGGGTAGATTTCAATGGTAATGTTTATCACCTCTACTAATTAACATGACTGGACTAATTAACAGGACTGGAGAGATGGCTCAGCAGTTAAGGGCACTGGCTGCTTTTGCAAAGGGCTCCGGGTTCAATTCCCAGCACCCACATGGTGGCTAACAACCATCTGTAACTCTAGTTCCAGGGGATCCAACGCCCTCTTCTGACCTCCAAGGGCACTGTATGACACAGGTGCACTTACACACATGCAGGCAATATACTCCTACACTTAAAATAAAAATGATAAAATATTTTAAAGAAACCTTTATATTTTAGTATCAACCATAAATATATATGAAACACTACATGGAAAGAATACAGAGTTGGTCATCACAAAATCGGAGTTCAAAGAATAGGCAAGCTTCACTGAGGTATTCATGTATTTATACTTTCACTTAACAAACAGTCATGAGCACCAGTTCAGGTAATTTGGCGTTGCAAGAGTCAGTGAAATGGATGTAGGTGCATGGTCTTCATCTCACAGAACTTGAACATTTCTAAGGAAAACAATAAGAGAAGGAAGTCATTAACCCAGAAGTTGACACTAGGGAGAAAATTAAGGTGATATAGGAGACAGCAATGATGGGCAAGAGGTCTTGGTGAATGTGGGGGTGGGGGTAAAGATCACAAGAGAAACTTCCAAGATGCAAAG